AGTTCTATCAACAGTGGCCAACAATTTGATCAATCATGCCTGCATAGTGAAGCCTGGGTAAAAATTCTTGAACAGCGAGCTTCAGGAAGCTTCCTGGTCGGTGAATACACTGAGGCGATGGGAGGGCGGTATGTCCTGGGGAGGACATGGAAGCTCTGCACCCACCAAAACCCACCTTGTGGCTCTATGTGGCTAGCTCTTCACCTGGGTGTTCGTTTGCATAAAAAACTGGTGATTCTAAGTATAGTGCTTTCCTCAATTCTGTGAGTCGTCTTAAGAAATTATCAAACCTGAGAGGAATTCACAGGAAGCCCTGAATCTGAGGCTGGCCAGGCAGAAGTGTGGGTAGCCCGGGACCCCACTGTGGCTAGTGACTGCAGCAGGCGGGGGTAGTGCTGTGGCACTGAGTCCTTAGCCTGTGGGGGTGACGCTAACTCCGGGTAGTAGTGTCAGAACTGGATTGAACGGTAGGACACCCAGCTGGCATGAGAATGGGCCTTAGAACACAAATGCCTTTGCCATCCTGGGGACAACTGGAGGGCAGAGGCCTACTTTTGCTTCCAACAGGGTCTAGCACAGCAGAGGCACTTCATCCATGCTTCCTGAATGAAGAAGACATGCTTTCTGGGAACAGCCAGGACTCAAGGGCAGAAGTCATGGAGAATGTGAATGAAATGTGAATCAATGAGCCCTCTGAAAACTGTCAAGGGCTTGAAACTTGAGAGGCAGGATGACCACCCCAGCCTGCCAGCCAGTCACATGCTGAAGCATCCATTTAGTGCTCCCTAGGTAGGCAGAAACCATATTGTGCAAGGAATCCATATTTCAAACAACTTGTCCTTTAAATACTCTGTCTTTTGGTATTTGGTCAAAACTAACACTGAGAAAAGCCCTGGGGTGCTTCCCCTCCCCATCCACCTGTTACTGTAAATACCTCTCCCAGGCTTCCAAATGCAGCTACAGGAAGCACGGCCTCCACACCTTGACGACAGTCTCACTGTGCACAGGGACATTTCAGGGCATTTGTTTTGGGTCCCACACTCAGCTCTTTGCAACCAGAGTTGCAGGCAGGGTGCACACTGGGCTGTGCCGAGGTGAGGATTTCCCGGGCACCAGCTCTGCCAAGGAAGGGGCTGGGTCTCTGGTGCATCTGCTGTTTGGCCTGTTTTTACCTAGGACTCTCAGTTGTATGGTCAATGGATCCCCCAGCCTCCAAGGACTACATACTTTCATCTCAAAGGGAGCAGCCCTTTTTTGCAGGAGCTTCCTGGGTTAAATTCCAATGAATCTACTGATTTCCACCAGGAACAGCTTTCTGAATCCTTTTTAGACACAGGGTCTAACAAGTAAAATCCTGCCACTCCTGCTCTCACCAAGGCAGAAGGAGTAGGGCTGCCTCCTTACGGTGCTTCTCCCCTCGTCCTGCCAGCACGGGGGTGGCCCTGCAGGGCTGGCTGGCGCCTGGCTGCCCAGTTCCTGCCCCCTTGCTCAGCAGATGGCTCTATCTGGTGTTTCCCGGGACACGACATGTCAGGTTGCAGTTCTTTCATGCTGACTCATCATTAAAACGTCCTTCCTTGACCATTTCACAGGTTTTCCTAGTAAGCAGGATTTGCACCCCATTCAGTTATTTCCTGCATAATTAGATGTGTGTGCTCCCACAATGCCTTTCCCAAGCCTGGAATGAAACAGTGACTCAACAGTCTTCCCTGCTGTGTCGCGGTTGTATCTAAACACCCAGAAAGATCACAAGACTGCAAGTGACCCAGCAACGTCTCAAGCCCAAACCCATTGCCTATCCACATTTAGAGCCTCCCCTGGACTTCAGGAAGGACCAGTTACAGCTCTAGTTTCAACAGAGAACAATCTGCCCTTTGGGCCCAATGTGCACTTCTACCACTTACACTGGTGTGGCAGTCAGTCCCCTGCAGGGACCCCCACAGGAGTGGGCACAGCGTGGCGAGGAAGCAGCCTGGAGCCACTGGCCAGCTCTCCTGCCACCTCATGGCAGTATTTAGGAAAGAACGTTACTTTAGTTCGCTTTGCAAACAGCAAAAGCACCAGTGGGGAGGTGACCGTGGAAAGTATTCAGAGATTTCTAGGAGCTGCCACCTTCCTTCCAAGGCCTGGTCTTGAAACCTTGGATCACCAGAAGCAATACAGGGAGGGCCACTCTCAGCTCCAACCTGACTCCAGTGGCCCAGGAAGTCCTAAGGGGATGGCAAGTTCTGATACCTTTCCGGAGGTACACCCATGGCAGGAGCTGGTCTCCTTGCACTGGCCACACAGCCGTCTGAGCAGTCTGTCTCTTCCAGCCTCTCCTACTCACAGCAGGAACAGAGTGAAGAAGCCTCTGCCTCATGCCAGGCAGCCCTGTAGCAGATGACTCTGACTTAAGAATTTTCAGATGGGAAGTCCCTCTACGAAAGTGGTTGGAGGGGACTCAGATGCACTCAGTCCCGGCCACTGAGTCAGGGAGAACCACCCACCTATGGAACTCAGGTTTTGGGGGCTTTCTGAGAGTAGGCCGGCCAGCTTTGTAAGCAGAGAAGCAGTGTGTGCAGAAATGTGTGCACACGTGTGATGTGACCAGAGAACGCATAAGCCAACTAGAAAGGATTCCCTACTGCACACGCGTTTCCTTTCTTGGCACGTAAGGAAAGAAGGGTGATGGGGGAGTTTAGTCCAATTTGAGATCTGAGCATTAATGAGGCCCAGAGATAGAACCATCTGCAGACAGGTTAGGGCTGCCAGGGAGCTGAGGCTAAACAGTGGGAGTCCCTGAGGTTTTCATATGGCACAGTCCCCCTGTAGTGGACTGGTAGCTCCCCAAAGGGCTGACTCAGGGTGTCACACACAAGTTCCCTCAGGGCACTGCTCTGAGACACAGTCACCCTTTATGACGGGTTCTGGTGCTCCCATTTGGTGACAGCCATATCTTGGTGCACACTGTCCCCTCTACCTTGAGCATCTCTCCCACAGCTGGTCCTTGCTCATTCCCTCATATCTACTCCCACCCCAGGCTTAGCCGGGCTCCTTTCTCTTTGCCCCACTGCTATAACTTCCGCTAATACTCATCACAGCTCTGAGCACACCAGACTAAACCAGTTCACTTGCTTCCACTGAGCCTCAGTTCCTCAAGGGAGTGGTACATCCCTGGCTGAATACATCCTGAGTTGTAAATTCCTTACCTCGTGGAGGCCCCCAGCCAATAATACTAATGCAGAGACATGGGGTTCAAGGTAAATAATTCTAACTAGACCAAAGGAGAGTCCCATATATGTACATGTGTACATACACACGTTTTTCTTCTTATTATACCAGAACATTTTAACTACAAGGAAACTGTTAAAATACCGATGTCCAGGTTCAAATATGATTTAAAACTTGCAAAGAAAAATTTATGAGGGTTTTAAGCTATATGGCTTTCTCACACCTTTATGCCCAAGTTTACCACTGTGATTATATGTCATCACGGCTTAGCCCTGCAAACAGGCCCCTGCGAGACAGGACTTGAGGGAGCTGTGGAGACTTTTCCTCAGATGAACAGAATCTAAGTCACACAGCCAAAAGGCTGTGCAGTTTCTTTATTCATCCTAACCATGCTGCCCATTATTTAAAACAAATAAAATGCCCAGTTTACTCCACAGGCCGACTCACGCCAGCCTCTCAGCAAAGGTTCTAGTAAAACTCTGTCCTCAAAAGGCCACATATTATATAATTCCCTTTATATGCAATGTCTAGAATAGGCACACCATGGAGAGGAAGCAAAGCAGTGCCTGTCAGGGGGTTGGAGGGAGGGATAATGGGCAGTGACTGCTTCAAAGGTATCCAGTGTGTTTTGGGGGTGATGTGTTTTAGTGTGATGGTCACACAACACTGTGAATACTAAAATCCACTGAAATGTTCAATTCAAAACAGTGGGTTTTATGTTCTGTGAATTTTATCAATAAGTAGAAACGTGGCTGTCTTACCTTTCTTCCAAAGGTACACTAAAACCTGTTCAAGCTTGTTTCATAATCACAACACTGAGGAAGGGAAAAGATCATTTTTCCAGCTGGGGAACCATGAGCCCACTGTCACCATGAGGGGAGTCGAGGCAGAACTGTGCTCCCCTGACAGCAGGCCGTCCTGGCCCTGCCTTGCCACAGAGGCCTGCGTGGTTTGGGTTGGTCACAGATGACAGATTCCAATTCCAAAACCTCCTTGAAGCTGTTAGTAAAAATGTTCTCAGAGAACACTCAGGCACAGTCAGGCAGGATAAACCACATGGACACCTCACAGACAGACCTTTCCGAAACAGAGGGACAGTCACGAGACTCCAAAAGCGACTTGAAGTTTTAGAAGCAAAATCACCCACAGAATGAGGTTCAACAATCAGTCAAGAAGATCATTTTGATTATTGAATCTGAAGATCTGATACTTTTGAAATGAGACATTTCACAAACTCTGCTGAAATAAGAAATACTTCGGTTTTGATTTTTTTTTTCTTAAATGAATTACGGTTTTAGAAAGAACTATATGGCCCTGGGGTGACAAAGTTAAAGATATTTTGCAAGCTTACTACAAGCAAATCTGATTTGGGAATTATTTTGAGTTATTTAATGCACCTCTACATGTTTTGTGATATAAATACATACATACATATATACTTAGATAGATATGTATGTTTAAGTGTATTTATTTTCTGTAGAAAAGAGGGCCAAAGTCATTTGGTATTTCTTTTTTCCATGAGTCTAATAATGAATTGCAACGATGCAAAGGCTTTAGAATGTTGTTCTAACCCATTAAAGGGCCAAATATTGAAGAAAGAAAATGATTGAGACATACACACACACACACAATTTTCTTAGGGTTATGGAAAATTAAGTAGGCACAATTGATTGTTCTGAGCTGGTTGGAAAACTTGGGCAATTAGCATAGGTCTGGACAACCACGGAAAGCCCACAGCAAGGACCACACCGTGACCAGCCACCAGAGATTTCGGATGGTAGACTTACCGAGAGCGTCCACTGGCAGGGGGGGCGCACGGTGAGAAAGTGCAGGATACACAATTGACACAAAAAGGAAAATAATAAAGTCAAACTGGTATTCGAGCAGCAATCTTCCCATTTTTGTGTGTTAAACAGTCCATGGCTTGCCACTGAATATTATATAAGGATGATTAAACCCACGTCCAAAAGCTGCACATCCAAGTTGCCTTCCCTGACTTGCTAATATCCTTTCCTTTTCATCTAAACAGAAATCTTCTTAGTTAGAAATCATCACCCCTGGAGAATACAGCAAGCTTTTTAAAACAAGATGAAGAATATAATCCCATAAGAAGCCACTATGATGCTTTACCAAGAGAGCCTTTCAAGTGTGACCTATCATAACTTGAACAGTAGCTACAGAAACCTAGGAAATAAAGTTTAAATGGGGGTGAGAACTTTTTAAAAACTAAAGAACTAAAAATGTTAGTGCAATAACAAAAAAGATACAAAGTATGTGAGTCTCTTTACTAGGTGTATCATGATAGCCTTGCAGCCTCTGGTGAAAAGCAATAGACTGAACTATTTGAATGTCAGACTCAAGGGTTACTACATTAAAATGTTCCTGTTCTCTCATAGACGGTTCTTGATTAACTTGTAGTAGAGATTGAAACAGAAAGCTTCACCATAGCTTTTATATTTAAATTAATAGTAATATGGAAGTTAATTAAATGAGAAGCTCCTGACTTTGTACAGTAAGGTGGTCAAAGGAAATAACAAAAATTGCTTGCCACGTCTAATCCTTACTTCCCAGCTGGGGTATGGCCAAGCCCAGGACCCCAGAGGCCATGAGCTGGTATCAAGGGCTTGATGAAGACTCAAGACGTGCCATTCGGAGCTTAGGGCTTTTGAATCAGCCCCACACCGCTGACCCACATTCCTCTGCTGCCTTTGTCTTGCCTCCCTCTCCTGTCAACAGACTGGCTCAGCCTCGTGCCCCTGACCCCAGGCACTAGCCTGGGACTTCTCAGAAGACAGGCACCACCTCTGCAGCTCCCTCATCGGCCTAGTGTTTAACTCCTAGTAGGTCTTCAATAAGCCTGCCTTTCACAAAAATGGATGCATTTACTCTGCTGGATCATATGCCAAGTTGTTTTAAAATAGTTTTGAGATAAAATCTAACCAATCCCCAAAAAGCCATCACGAGCTTTCTTGATGATAATATTTAAATACCTTTAGATTACAAATTACCACTCTCTATATTATAGCGAAAGAGTTAAATAAAGAACATGACAAAGGCCTATATCTACAGAGTGAAAATATAGGTAAATTAGCCAAACTCACACAAATTGCACCCCATATGTGCCTTCCTGAGTCAAGGGCAATGCTAAAACCATGTTTAAATGCCATGTCAAAGGCATCTGAAATTTTGAAAAGTGAAGTCAGAAGAATTTTAGATCAAAGATCATGGTTTTTGAAAGAGGCATAGCAGAAAGCTGCTTGGTAATGTCCCAATTAGAAAGGAAGGGACTGTTTGGCTGTAAAGATCAGATTGAGTTCTAGCAGGACAAAGAAAAATACCCAACACATTCATCCGTCCCGACACATCATGTAAATCTCAGAAGAAACAACACTTTTTAAGTCAAGAGCCTAGAAAGTCTCTACTTCAAGGACATGAAGCAGATGTTTTAGCAGAAAGGGAAAAAAACTTCAGCTCACCAGACCCAAAAATAACGAAGATTCAAATGACCAGATTTCTTCTGGCCCTTGTCTATTTCTAGTCCCTTCTTGGGCTAAGCATCTTCTAAGAGAGCACTGCTTAACAAACATGCAGTCAGAATGTCTGCATGACTCTGGTACTGTCTAGAAGGTTCCAGCCACCCTAGAAATATACGTATGTGGGCACTTGGTGAAAAAAAAAAAAACGCACTTACATATTTTAGTTAAAAAAATTACAAAGGAAAGAAAGAAAAACTTTTCTGTTTGTAACCTGGAATAACCAGAAAAACACACAGCCTTCCAAGCCACTCCTCTGACTTGGCTTGTAGGCATAATAAATACACCATTGTGGCCACATTGTCTGGAAAGATATGGTGCCCGAGACCACCATATGGTGGGGCCAAAGAGACAAGACGTTTCAGAAACCCCGGCTCACAGCCTCCATTCTCTCAGCATTCAGGCCCCAGTGGCCCCAAGGAACCTCAAAACCAAATGCCAAGTTATTCCTGAATACAAGATGAGAAGCATCTCTTCATGTTATGTAGTCCAGCCCTTGTGCATTCGCTCTCCACCTGGCACCTTGGTGGGAAACTCATTTTCCACTAGAGGAAGCCTGAGCCAGGACTGGCCAAGTCTAATTGCCACAAACTCCCTTTTGACTGTGCTGCAATCAAACCATGGGCTTCCCCCTGGGTCTGAATTCTGCTAACTGGACAATGCCAGTACTTTGAGGGGCAGACAGGGATTGTTTCAGCCTCTATGCACAATTAAGATAAAAGGATTTTCACTGCAGCCAAGACCTTAAGAACTCTGAAAAGAGAACTCTGAAACAGCTAAGGGCAAATTGCTACTTTTCCTTACCTTGTCCTCACACCAAATTCCCAAACCTTTTCCAAACTATAAGCCGGAGTGCCCTCCAAATCTCTCCTACCTTAAAGCTGCCAAGTTGCCAGTTTACATGGAGGTCACTTCCAAATTTTCACCAGCCTGTTCTTCCACAGCACCATAGAGTCTATGCAAAATGGTGGCAGTTTTATTTATAAACATTTAGCTCTAAACTTGCTAAAATGTTACTGACCAAAAACCCTGTTCCTTGTTAACTTCCAGGTGACCTAGTTAGATAGAACATAAACTGGAGAAACACTAAGAGCAGGAACTCAGATCTAAAACAAACAGAGGAGGCCAAAACTAACAGAAAATCTGATCATGGGTGAAATTTCTGCTGCCTTTATCTTGAAATGGCCTCATGGTTTTTATAAGAACTGGAGGACATTTTTAAGAAATGTTCAAATGTAAAAACTCTGTCTTGTCCTCACCATACTTCCAACCAAATCATCCCATCTCCCAAACGTATTTTCTTTTAATTCCAAATGAAAAGTGCTTGTTTAGGTAAGAGGACACTCCGTTTTGGAGATTTCAACCTAAAAGGTCATTGTCCCAAACAAACACCAAACACAGGGCAAGCTAATAGGGGAAAAAGCCCATTTTATCAGTTGGGATGCAACAAATTAAAAATACTCGGTATCAAGAAAAGACTGGAAGGAATGTCACCTTCTCAAGTTTGAGTCCCTACATTGTAGTAAAATGTTACAAATGCTTACAAAGTGGATGTAGCTAGATTTTTCTCTTCAAACTCCTAGTCCATGCTGGCAGAGGAGAGCTGGGTCCCGGATCTGACAGTGAACTGGTTTGTGAAGGACAATAAGCGGGCAGAGGTGGAGGCACAGCACACAGGTCCGCTTTTCCTCATGGAGCTCCCGCCCCCATGCATGTCATGAAAAAGCCCCTACACAGCAGTGACTCCCAGCCCCACTGCAGTCATTTCTAACATTCTCACGAGACTTAATAAAGGGTTGGGGAGATTATAGGCTGTGAAAGATGGAGGAGAAAATGACATGATTTCTGTAATAACTACCATAGAACATTTGCATGAAGGCTTTTCTGTATTATTCCAAGGCTTCCAAGAAATTTATATGTTTCATTATAATGCACAAAAGGCATGGAAACTGTCAGATTTTGGAGACAAAGATGGAGGGAGGGAACAAGTCAAGTACAACTCTGCAAGGGTCAAATTAATAAATATTTTGCACTTGAGAACTTTAATTCAGATAGATTCTATTTGCTCCTGTTCTCCAGGGCTGTCACAGGTAAGGAAATCTGAACTGAACAGTTTCTGCTTCAAAGACAAATCAAGCACATGCTTGTTTTCCCAAAGTTATACTATTAAATAGCAGAATTTGTAGTTACCTTTTTTTGCTTTCTTCTGCAGCTTTAGTGTATCTGAGGACTTCTTTTTTATCTCTTGGCGAGCTTTTTTATACTCTAAGAGAAAAAGAGAATATTGAGTAATTTTACCAATTTGCTTGACAGAAAATATTTTAGCAATAGACATTACTTTCGCCACGGAAAGGTTAAACTATGACATGCAATAAATAGTGTTATCAGCATATAGTATAATAAAAATCTCATGAAGACATTTTATAGCAAAGGGACTATTAACATGAAAACAACAGAATGCACTCTAATCTTTCCCTTATAATATTCACTCACGCCAGCTTTGAGGAAAGACATTACTTGGGAATATGTTACTTAAAATGAAAAATTCACAATTTCTCAACTCAAGTATTCAAGTATCAGGAAATAGTTTCAGTATTATCTACTTTTCCAAGGTCCAAATCCATAGGGTTTCACTCAAAAAAGAACCCAGGTGGCAAGATGCTGGCCAGATGTTGTAATTCAGGAAAGATCACCTCTAATGACAGCAGGAGAAACCAGACCATTTTAGGAAAAAATTTGGAAAGGCCCAGCTGCATGACTTTCATATTAATACTGAGGCCGGACACAGCGGACACCACAGAGCAGCAGCCCACACATACACACATTCCCCAGGAACCACCTCCTCTTTCCTCCCCAGTCGACACCCATTCCTGGATCTTCCATTCCTGTTGCTGCCTCTTCATCACCCTGACTTGGACATTTGAGATGACAGTCGCCTCTGATATTTCTCTCCTTTGCTGCCCTCATATTAAATTAATTGCCGATTCAACCAGTCTGCTGGCAGCCATCCCCGAGGTTTCCCTCCCACCAGCCCAAAGCCAGTCAGAGCTTTGTTTCATATGAAAAACAACAGTGCTCAGTCCTGCAATGGGATCACTTTTGACTCTATCTGCCAACTCTGAAACGCCTACAGAAGTGGGGACAGAGTGGGCCCTTAGAGTGACACAATACACCCAGCAGAGGCATCAGGCAGCAGCCAGCAATGCCCAGCACTCATCTCACAGCACTAGCGCAAGCTGACAGCCGGCCCGTACCTTTTGCGTGGTCTTTATCCAGCTGGTTCGCTACTTTCTTCCATTCTTCCATCTGTTCTTGCAGTGGGTTTATCAGACAGTCGATCAGAGCACTTTTATCAAAGGAGAAAAGGAGAAATTCAACAGATACATTTTGTTGTCAATATTTACACTTGATTGTCAAAACGTACCTAGATCACAATTACTTGAGGCAAGTCAAGGCAGCATACTAAGGCTAAGTTCACATTCAAATCCCCCGATTTTGTAACAGCCTTGTTCTCCATATGCTTTCAGATGACTGTTTAGCTATAAACATGACTGGATGGAATGACCTCTTTTCATTTCCCGTTTATATCCCAACTCTCGTTTTAACAAGCAAGGCTAGAGACCAGTGGGGTCACCCTTTGGTTGCACAGCAGAAGCACCTAGAGAGCTTTAAAAAGGGAAAGACACCAGGGCCTCACCCCACACCTAATATTTGATAGAAGCTTTGAGGGTGGGAGCCCGGCATTACTATCTTTTAAAAAGACCCACATGATTCTGATATGCATAGGATTATAAGACATGAACACAGACTAGCAGTGATCAGCCTAGAGAAAGAGAAGCTGACTGCCAGCTTCCACATCAGAGGGGCAAAGGTACATCCCTTTGGTTTAGCCTCCGGATCAGACCACACATGGACATATGGAAGCGTGCTCCCCACACAGAGGAACTGTACCCAAGGGTTTCTGTGCAAATGAAGAAAAATGGGCCCATTCCTACATCACAGAGATATTATAAAAAAATCAGAAAATGCCCATAAATTGCATGAATTGCTTTTTGATCCTGGGCCTCCTGAAAATCTCCAGGTTCTTGGTACAAGTCCCCTCCTTTGCTTTCAGGGTCTACTTACAGCTCCCTCACCCACACACACTCCCTCCAGCCATCAACACAGCCCACTCCCTTACTTTGTCCAGGTCTCTGTTCAGATCTTTCTTCTGAATAAGAGTCACTCCCTCACCACCCAGTGTCAGACAGCAGCCACCTGTCCCCTATCCCATGTATTCTACCTTGCAGCATTTCTCACTGCCTGACATTTAATTAGGTTTATTTAGTGTCTAGAGCATGCATGCCCTGAGAACAGGACACAGGCTATCCACTGCTCTATCCCATTCCCCTAAGTGCCTGGCACATTGTAGGTGCTCAGTAAACAGGGGCTATTGAATTGGTGTCTCCTTGTCCCTAACAGGGTGAGGTGCCACAAGGCTGGCCAGGAATAAAACAAGGCAGCAGGTGTGTGAGAGGGGGTACTGTGTGACCTGGGGAGCATGACCCAGGAGCGAGGAGGAGGGATGGAAGCTGGATTTCATCACCTGCTGCACCGGGTGCTTTCTGCTGTGAATGTGTGGACAGTTCATTCATTTTCACAAGAACCCTTTATAGATTATCATCCCCATTTTACACGGGCTAAGATTCTAGCCAAGATTACAGCATGTAAGCAGCCAGGCCCGGCCATCTCTAAGACAAGGTGCTTGCCACTATGTTCTGCAGCCTTCTGCACTGGCCCCGCCAAGAGGGTGAGAGGCATTTCACTTTGGCAACCACTTACACAACTTGCGAGCCATAAAACAGAACAGCGTGAAACTGCTGAGCTGTGCTGATCTGCTTGGAAGAAGGTCCCTGCTCATCTGAACATCGGGGACTCCAAATCCCCATGGCAGCCAATGCTGGTTCCACCCATTCTGGATGCTGGGTAGACAGGCAAGAGTGGGCAGCGTGGAGAGCTCTGGAACTACTGCTGCCCCCGTGCGGGCCTGGAGGGAGCACTCGGGGAGCAGGACAGCAGTGTGCACCTCACTCTCCAGGACCATGGCTCCTCTCCCCAAGGCTCCTGTGGGGTTTGTGGGGGGCGGCCGGGCTCAGCAGGAGGCCCCACTCCTCACACTGAGGGGGATGAGGGAGGCACACAGGAGCAGAGAAGGTCCCACAGGGGCAGGTGCAGCCTCCATGAGGGCGGGCGCATTGTCTGCTGTACCGCTGGCATCCAGGCTAGTGCCTGGCACGTCACAGACACCCAACACACACTCGGCTCAGTGAGTGAGTAGAGTAATGGGCTGTGGGGATTTAAATGCACTGGGGAAACCAGGGCTGCATAAGGCAGGTTACACTATGTGTCACCACTTCCTTAACCTGAAATCAGCAAGGAGGCTGGAGAGTTGCGTGAACCATGCTCCTCACCTTGAAAACTGCCGCAGCTTGGTTTCTATGCTTCTATGCCTCATGCACATCCGGGTCAGGGCAGAGCCAATCTCTCTGGTACCACCTAAAAAAGCAACAGAGGCAAAGTTGAAGGTGGGAGACAAGTCAGAGTCACCAAGCTCTTTTAAAAGAGTATAAAACAAGCCAGCTCTCACCATGTTGTAAAACCTAAGCCACTGCCTCTCAAACTTCTCATGTACACGTGTGTACGCATGCACAATTAAGTATTCTGGTGACATATTTTCATATAATCACCAAAACAAAACTGACCTTTGCTATATGTCCGATACCCTTTAATATCTTCTATTTTTTCTGATTTTTAAAAAATGCTGATTGTGACCCAGAAATTGATTTTACAACCCACTAACAGGTCTTGACCTGAGGTCTGAAAAATACTTCCCAAGGAGGATGATCAAAATAGTACCTGATGTTTAGGGAAAAGTTGTCGTTTTGTGGGCTTTTCCCCCCACTTCCGGCAAAAATAATCCTCTTTGCATTATTTAGAGCAGCTAATGAGGCTGCTCTCATTGTTTCAAGACAAATATTCTAGAATACAGGTAATTCAGAGAAGAGCAAGGCTAAAGCAAAATGAAAGGATGGAGTACCTTCTAATAAGTTTGGATAACAGCAGTGAGAGGCCGGCCATCCAACTCAGCCAACCTCAAAGTCAGCCGCAAAGAGGTTAGATCTTCCCAGAATTCTTGTCATACTTTTCCCTTCATGCACACCCTTTCCTAAGATCAGTTTTGAAGTTCCCCTTCCTCCCTGTCTTGGAAACAATGCCTGAATCAGCATTTACTTGGCTGAGGAGGAGGGGAGGGAGGAACAAATTCTAACTGCAGATGGTAATTCTGTACAGACCACTGGAAAGCACAATTATAAATATTATAAAAACACCAGGGCTCACAAAATCAGGGGGAAAGTGTCAAATATAACACTATTTTTAACAGACAAGGCCTTCAAGGGAAGCCACAGGAATCTACAGCAGGCTTAACCAAGTCAAGGCAGCAGGAAAACTTCCCTCCTTTATTAGTACTCGTGACATTATGGGCTGTATTTTCCCCCATCTGACTTCTCTTCTGGAAATGCCAATGTGCTGATTCAGTTCCACCTATTTTCCATTTTATTCTGCAAAACGAACAGGTTTACAGAACCAAAAAAATCAATAGTAGTGATACATACATATATATATATAATATTTTTGTATTTTGTTTTATTCTGTAAAGAGAAGCCTTCTAGAGCAATATTTCCATTCTTTTAAAACAGGGTTTCTCAACCTTCACACTATTGACTTGTGGGCTGGGTGATTGTCCGGGAGGCTGTCCTGTGTACCATAGGATGGTTTTCAGTATCCTTGGCCTCGACCCACCTGAAGTCAGTAGCAGCCCCCCAGTTTGCGACAACCAAAAATGTCTCCAGGCAGTACCAAGCCTTCCCTGGAGAGCAAAACCTCCTCCAAGTTCAGAAGCACTGCTGTAAGAGGACCTGAGCAAGAAGTAACAGTCACCTGAGGCCAGAAGTCTTTGTAAAATGCTGCCCTTTGGCTCCTGGCACCTGCAGCTACTCCCAGGAGTTAGTGATCACCTGAGCTCAGGGCCAACTACCGCAACTCACACGGCTCCACCACAGGAACCCAGTAGAGGGCGCTGTTTTCACACGAGCCACTCCCATTCTGAGCTCGTTACAGGTTCTCTGAAACTCTTATTGCTTATAAGCAAGGACGAGGAACACTTTATCCCCAGGGAAATATCTCCTATTTTTCCTGGGCCTTCATTTGATTAAAAGTTAATAACCTGGCCATGCAAGGAAACTGGAGCACTCATTCACTGCTGGGAGGAGTTATAAACTAGTACTTTTCTGGAGGAAAACTAAGCAGCCTCTATCAAGAAAAGCCTTGAAAAAACAAGTTCCTTCTTTGACCCAGAAATTCTACTTCTGGAAATTTAACTGGAGCACACAATTAAGGATGAGAGCAAATCCTTACCTATGAGGTGCATCATGGAAATGTTGACTACAACCAAAGAAACTAGAAACAAAATCCCATTTTAGGGAATAGGTTAAATAAACCATAGAACAGCCACACAATGGAATAGCACGTAGTTATCTCAAGTGCTGGACAGTAACTTTAAGGTCACAGAAACTGTGTCATTGGTATAGAGTTTAGGATGCGCTGAGCTCTGGGATAAAGGCTTCGCACATATGAGCTCCTTGGAAATCCTCTCTCAACAGTCCCATTTTATAGACAGGAAAGATGTCTTATACAGTATGTCTAAGATCACACTGCTGGCAAGTGGATTCCAACCCAGGCTGAATCTCCAGAGCCTATGCACTTAACCAGCACATGGCCCTCATAAAACACAAAAGAGGCAGAGCGGAGGGCCTCGGGCATTCCTAAATTCACACCATTGTGGCTGTTAGGGATTTACAGCCCAGCTCTCAAATTTGGTTCCTGAGCTGAGAATTGTTGAATTGGTACTAGAGGATTGAGCTCCAATTCCTGCTAGGCTCTGGCAGCAAGCTAAGTGGTGGAGAACTGCTTCACTGACAACCCATGCCCTTTGTCTCCTCCAGACGGAAGTCTCTGGCTGTAAAAGATCACCTCAAAGGTCAGTTTCCTCACCCCATGTCTCTGTCCTACTGTTTGTTACCTTCCCAGATATTTTCCATAGAAGGCCACTGGCCATGTACTGTCCCCAGGACAAGGCTTCTCATCAAGAGCTGAGCTATGGTCCTATAACAAGCAGTTTCTGAGCACGCTACATGGGTGCCACCCCGCGGGCTTCTGCAGCACAGGAAATGCTGAGGGGGGGAGGAAAGAAAGAACCGTAAGAAAAACTTCCAAAGAGCAGTGTCTCTGTCCAGCTGGCATGCGGGCAGGAGACAGGCGGATGACATCCTCCCCGAACCCCGGGACCCTCCGTTAGAGTGACCGCTGATCTCAGCAACATGGGCACCCTAAAAATAGCTCTATCTGTGGATGTGCTTAACAATGTCTTATGCTCTTACTGACCCTTGGTAAAATTGAAAAAAAAAGAAAATCAGCAGGTTTGAAAAAGCTACAGAGGAAACTGGCTTTAGCTACAAAGACAGAACAGACATCTGGAAGAGCTCCGGTTTGACAGTGAGAATATTTATGGATCAGATGGCTGGCTGAGACACACCAGCAGCCTGTCAGCGAGGACAAGATCTCACTTGTTTCTGTTTTCCCTGCACCCAACCCTGTGCTGAATGAAGGAAGCAACATTTACCAGTTTGAGAGTAAACCATCAGGGTGCCTATACCTGGAAGCAGGACCATGGATGGGGTTTGCCTTTTGTTTAATCCCAAAATATTTCTGTATCTCCTATGTGAACACTACAGAAGATTTAAAACAAATCCCAGATTCTTATCATCTTAGAAATGGTCTCTGTCGATTCAAGGTCAGCCTACAGAAACAATAGTGGATTCATTTCCTACTGCTTTCCTAATACATTACTACAACCTTACTGGCTTGGAGCAACAGACATATAGTATCTCACACTTCTGGAACTCAGAAGTCCAAAATCAGTCTCACTGAGCTAAAACCATGGTGTCCCTCCCGAGAGTTGCGTTCCTTGTGGAGGCTCTAGGAGAGAATTTGCTTCCCTGCCTTTTCCAGCTTCAAGAGGCCCCCTGCTTTCCTTGGCTTGTGGCCCCTTCCCCCATCTTCAAAGCCAGCAGCCTAGCATCTTTTCTCTGACTCCTATCCTCCTGCCACCTTCTGGCAAGAGCCCTTGTGAGTGTACCAGGCCCATCTTGATAGACCAGGATCATCTCATCTCAAGGTCCTTAACTGAATTACATCTGCAAAGACCCTTTTGCCAGGCATGATGGTAACACGTTCATGGGTCTGGCGATGAGGATGTGGACATCTTTGGGGGCCATCATTCTGCCTACCAAAGATGCGTAAGAGTTGCTAATTTGGCGAGTGTGGAGAGGCACTGTGGTTGTCTCTCCAGAATCCATTCCTCCTCAGCTGGCGAGTCTGGGCCAATGACCTAATCCCACCTCCCTTGGCAGCGACCCACAGGGGACGGGACAAAGACCGAGAGAAGGCTGACAGAGAGGCCTCTGAGGAAAACCTCCCTGATCGTAAGGCCAACACACGCAGAACATCAACAGGAAGCAGGCTGCCCAGTTGCCACAGACAGCTGTCTTTCAGGGCAGGAGCCACCTGCTGTAGCATGAGGCCTGACCTGTGGACAGAAGAGAGGAGGACCCTGAGTCCCCAGTGACCTCCCTGAGCCACCAAATTAACACACTTTTGGCCTGTTTTCCCTCCAAATCTGTGGTTCCTGCAAGAGCACACATTTCCATGTTTTTAAAGCCACTTTCATTTGGTTGTGTTTCTTGCCAGCTGAGAAGAAGGAAGAGATCAGTGGCCTCCCGCACTTCCCCCCAGCACCGGGAATCAACCCTGGTGCCCAAAGAAATTGCTAGGAGATACGTAAGTCTTTCACTCACTGCTGAGGGATGCAAATGTACTTTACAGCAAAAATTTTAATTCTTTTCAATGTAGCGTACATGAAAGAACTTTCTCCCATAACAAGCAAAGGTAAACTAGATGACGTGCAAGGAGAGTGGCAAGAAGGCACTAGACCATTGGCACTAGACTGGGCTAGATCATCGGAGTGCGAATGCTGGGACGGAATGCCGGGAGTGCTGCACATGAAGATGCTTACAGATTCCACAGACGTACACTAAGCACTGGATCAGTCTCCTAGGGCTGCGGTAAAGCAAGGTACCCCGAACCAGCTGGCTTAAAACAACCAGAGTTTATTGTTCCATGGTTTGGGAGGTCAGAAGTCTGAGATCAAGGTGTCAGCAGGGCCACATTTCCTCCAGACCGGCAGGAAAGAATCCTTCCCTGCCTCTCCCCAGCTTCTGCTGGTTACCAGCAATCCTTGGCTTATAGAGGCATCCGCCTCCCTCTTCAAGTGGCCATCTACAGGTGTGTACCCATCTTCCCAGGACATCTATGTGAAGGCATTCTTCTCTCTGCACATGTCTGCGTCCAAATTTCTCCTTATAAAGGTACCAGTCTTA